AATGAAGGGGGGTGGGGAAGTTGTACTGGGAGACAAAAAATGTCCCAGGCTACATCTCTGAAAGAAAACTGAGGTGGGTGGGGCAGGAATTTCCGGTCCTGGAGGGACAGTTCACAGATGGCAGATGGAATCCTTTTCCTCTACAGGTGTCCCTGAAATGTAGAAATCAAACCTGGTCTTTAAAATCTGACATCTATTGATAATTGCTGGAGGTCCATTTGGGATATTCTCCTCTTGGCAGAGACCTGACCACTTCCCTGGCACTCCATGCTTTGACCACAAAAAAAAGACAGGCACTCTGGAAATCCACTCTCAGTGGCCAGGCGGGCTGGTACTTAAAGGACCTGTCTTTATTCTCAGTCAGCCTTTCAGCAAAAGTATAATGACAGCTACAGTTCCTCAAACATCTCTGTATCAGGCACTTGACCTCCATTACTGCTTTTAACCCTCAGGACAGCCCAGCAAGGTAGATCCTCTCATCATTTTGCAAATGAGGAAATTGAAGCTCAGGAAGGTCTCTTCAGCTACTGAAAAGGTCATGGCACTTCTGACCTATCTGGCTCTGAGGCACACAATTCTTTACACCATACACTAACCACTTGTACAGTTCCTTTGTTTACTCCTGTGAAGTGGCCCAGACAGGGCCTGCCTCAAATCTGGAGAGAATGTAGAGTGTAAAGGTCTGAGACTTAAAACTTCCTGTGTGTCCTCTTGGAATCACCACCCCTAAATAAACATCTAGTTTCCGTATTGTTTATGCCTCCCTATCCTACCAAAGGATATCCGTACCTCTGTTGCATGTGGGTGACTGTGGAACAAGTCCTGTTTTTACAAAGAAGCCCACATGCTGGGAAAAAGGCTTTTTCCTTAAAGAAATCACATTTCAATGACAGATCCCCAGTGCAACTCAGAAAAACAAAATTTATTCACTGTGCACCTAAAGAACATGGTATTGTTTGTGTAAGGGTAGTCAAGCACTGTTTATAAAGACAGTGATTCTCCCGGGCAGTTTAGCTCAAATTCAGATGCTAAGGCACTGGTTCAGTTGGGGGTTGTACCTACGTTTGGAATTTTACCAGGTCCTACTCAGTTAGTTATACTTAGTTGGAATTGACTTGACAGCAGTGGTTTTGTTTTTGTTTTATTTTTTGGTAATCAGTCACACTGGTGCTGCAGTTACTCCTTTCAGAAGCACTTTTTTTTTCCTTTTTTTAATTGTTACTGTTGACAATGAAAGCATTTAAAAAAAAAAATGTTTGTAAAGCAAACCAGTGGCATTTGCCTTGTGCAAATTAAAAAACTGATCTGTCCTTGCCCTTCCTTCTCCACCTCCTCCCAAAGCAAACCCCACATCTGTGTTAAACAGATGTTGTTTAATTCTTTCCAGAAAGTGGGGGAGGGAAGGTGGGAAGGGAGTGTCCTCCTTTATACCTTTTTGGTAGTAGAGTTCAATGTCATTTCTGTTCTGGGTGGGGTTAAATGCCTGAGTAATGTAAATACACTACAGATAGGAAGCAGTTGGCATGTGGCCATGCAGCTGGATTATCCAGACATCCTTCTTAGCTTTTAGTGCAACACTTTATCCCCCTGCTTTGTTTTAAATAGCCAGATGCCTGGGTTAATGCTTGCCGACAGGGTTGTTGCCAGAGGAGAGGAAAGGAGTTTCTGCCCCTACACACTGATGCACATACACCATCATTGACCAGAAGGTGCCTTCAGAAAAGAGTGTAGGAGGAGAGGGATCAAGGCAGGACGGAGGATGCTGCAGACTGCAAATAAAGGCCAAAGTCAAAGCAGCCCTTGTAATCTGAAGGCTGGGTGGCAGGAGATATATATATATATATATATATATATA